ACTTACCTAAATTGGCTAAAAATCTCAGGTCCAACGGTTAAGATTTAAGTGAGAAAACAAGGAAATTATAACACCGCCTCGTGAATCCTCCGTCAAAATTACAAAGAATGTATGGGGCTTTGTAGCCACGCCTCCGAACTTCATGCCTATCGAACAAAATGGCGTCGAATAGGGTGATAAGTGATAGTGATAAGGCCTATAGTGATCATGTGCCGGTCGTTTGTGGATTGAGAGTAAAACTGAAGAATATCACCCACAGGAAAAARGCTCCAAAAAGAGATCTCCGATTGCTCAGGGAAGACAAGAATGTTAGATCGAAATTCCAAGAGGAAGCATTTCCGAAGATAGAAATCGTTGAGAGAAATCAGAGAAACTCGGAGGAAACATACAGTGCTTTGCAAGACTTTCTAGTGAACTCTGTTGAGAAGGTGGTACAAAAAGAACAGAAAGTGAAACTGCTTTCCAAGAAAAAGCGCATCTGCTCGGCAGCTAGCTGCATTCAGGCAAAAGATGGAACAGTATTGTTAGAGAAAAACAAAATCTTGGAAAGATGTGAAGAATGTGTCAGGGATCTGTACGATTATGATAGAAACGAAACACCACTGCCATCAAATAATACAGATGGACCTCCTATTCTAAAGGAAGAAGTAAGGAGTGCGCTCAACAAAATGCTTTATGGAAAGGCACCAGGACCAGACCTAATCCACACAGAAATGATGGAAGCTCTAGAAGACTTAGGAGTAGAAAAGATTACACGATTGTCTAACCTGATATACCAGGAAAGTCAAATTCCAGTTAAAATGTGCAAGTCCATCTTCATCACCCTGCCCAAAAAACTTGGTGCAAATAAATGCGAATTGCATAGAACTATCAGTTTAAAGAGCCATGTTACCAAACTGGTGCTGAGGATCCTTCTTGAGCGAATAAAAGGTCGTACAATTGGAGAAATGGCCGATGAGCAATATGGTTTCTCACAGGACAAGGGCACCAGAAATGCCATCTTTATCATGCGGATGCTGTCGGAAAGAGCCATAGAGATGCAGCATGACCTCTACCTGCTTTATAGATTACACAAAAGCATTCGACACTGTGCGGCACAACCTCCTCTTTGATATTCTATCAAATCTCCATATCGATGGAAAAGACATGGAACTTCTAAAAGCACTTTATTGGAACCAACAATCGGCTGTGAAAATCGATAACAGTTTGAGCTCTTGGATCGATATAAAGCGAGGGGTGCGGCAGGGATGTGTCATCTCCCCCCTCTTGTTTTCTCTTTACACTGAAGTAATTATGAGGTCCATCTCAGATCAGGAAGGAATAAGGGTAGGAGGAGTCAATGTTAATAACATTCGATTTGCAGACGACGACACTGTAATTATAGCCAACTCGGTGGGAAAACTTCAATCACTGATGGACATAATTGTGGCCGAGAGTGAAGAGAAGGGGTTGTTTATCAACAGAACAAAAACATTCACCATGTGCGTCTCTAAAAAAGATCCACCACCGCCTTGTCTGATCAGCATCAACGGCGAGAGTATCAAGCAAATAGACAAGTTCTCGTACCTGGGAAGTATGGTAACAGCAGATGGAAGRTGTGAGACAGAAATTAAGAGAAGAATCGGAATCGCGAAATCTTCCTTTAAAGCCGTAGAGAAACTTCTGATGAATCGAACCCTGAAGAAAGCAACAAGGATAAGGATTCTGAAGTGTTACGTTTGGGCTACCCTTCTTTATGGATGTGAAACCTGGACTGATAGCGAGAGTATGGATAAACGACTGATGGCAGCGGAGATGTGGTTCTTACGACGTATGTGAAAGGTTCGCTGGTATGATAAGATTACAAACGAAGAAGTCCTAAGGAGAGCAGAAACGARAAGATCAWTGATTGCCGATATTTACACGAGACAATTGAGCTTCTTAGGCCACGTTCTAAGAAAAGAAGGCCTTGAGGGACTTATGTGCACGGGTAGGATAAATGGAAGGAGTAGTAGGGGTAGACCTAGGAAGATGTATTTGGATTCATTGACGAAGATCACCGGGAAGAAGAAACTTGAGCTGCTGCAAGGTTGCCACGATCGTGCAGCATGGCACAATATGATAGCCAACGCCAGATCTGGCATGGCACAATGATGATGATGAAAAGTTGTATAAAGGTCATTGCATGTACATGTAAAAAATTGGTCTATTGCATGATGAATTGCTCTATGGCATAACTGACATCACAGCATGTTTACATAGTGGGTAGATGCCAATAGAATGGTTTGTGTAATTATACGATAGGGAAATTATTAAAATGATATTTTTTTGAAACAATTTAGTAAAACATTCGTCTGGCTGTTGTGAATGTACATGTACATTTGTTTTTTTACAAATCAATTTGTTTTCAAGTCTTATTTATTTTCTTACAGGATCTTGTTGAATTTGGTGCTTTGGATATTGGAAATGATTTTCACATGTGTGTCTACAGTAGTACTGTCAAGTTTTTTTGCAAAGTTGATTTTACTTCAATGTAGTATATATTTTCTAGTTGTGATCTTGCATTAATACATTTTTTTCTACGAAGAAATTGCTTCCGGTTCTGTTTGATGGACATAATTCATTGTTAATTGTTGGAATAACCACACCATAAGGCCATCACCATAAGGCCTAACATTTTGTATCTTCTTCCCCATGAAAATGGTGAGTAATTTTCTTCATTTTCATTCAATTATTAACATACACAATCGTGTCCTGTACACATTGCACAATGTAAAGGTTTGAACAATAGTCCCAAGAAAACATATAATAATTGTTATCTTCCTTGTGTACAACAATCTTCTTCAACAATCTACAAACACATCTTCTAAACAGTATAATTTTTTGTATATTTGAATATTATAAACACCCTGG